TGATTTATTAATGTCTTATCAGTTAGACCTGAGCCAGTTTACCACTGAGTCAACTTTATGATCATTCATAACCACCCTGTTGAAACCGATAAATCGTAAAAAAGTGGCTGACTGACTAACTTGCATTTTTTACCTTTAACAAACCAAAAATCTGTCTCTTAGAATATCATTGATGAATGCTTTGAAGACTGACAGAGTCTTCCATTCATCTCCCTCTCTTATCCAAACTAGGCTGTATGGCTTCTTAGGTCTAATGTTAGTATATGGCTCCATGTAACTCTTCTAATGCTATGGGGATGAGGGGAAGTAGGTACTTCTTTGTAATCTGGTTAAGTCCTCTGTAATCTATGCAAGGGTGCATTTTTCTTAACAAAGAAGAAACCAGCAGCCACAGGAGAAGTAGAGAGTCTAAGGAAACCTTGGTCTGAGGCCTCTTGAATGTACGTGTCCATGGCATGTTCCTCCTCCTGTGTTAAAGAGTAAATTCTGGGTTTAGGATGATTGGGCTGTCAATAAGATTTATAGCACAGTCATAGAGGTGATGAGAAGGTAGTTTGGTGGCATTTCCTTTACTGAAAACTTCTTTGAGGTCTGCATACCCAGGGGGAATTTTAATAAGGGCCCGGCGTTAGGACTTTCTATTGAACTGGACCTCACTGCTAACACGGGCAGTGCAATACAGGTCTGTTGGCAAAATTCTGATCATGATGATAGTTCATGTTCCAACCATGCAACCTGCAATTTCCCTCTGGGATCAATAAAGTTCTATCTATCTATCTATCTATCTATCTATCTATCTAACCAAGAGATGCTGGGGTTGTGTTTTTCTAACCAGGGCAAACACAAAATATTAGGGACTTCTGTTGAATTTACAACCAAAAAGGAGAAAAGTTCACGGTGGGGAGCACTCGTGTTCAATTACACTGGCTTGGTTTTTAGCATGATAGTTTCAGCTCCAACAGGACCCCCGTCTACTGCTGCTACTCTCCAAGGGTTCTTCAGAGTTTCAATCTGCTGTTCTTTAACGAGTTGTGCGTGGATAAAATTTCCCTCTGCATCAGAGTCAATCAGGGCTGAAACGACAGAAGAAACCTGATGACAGTACACAATTACAGGTAGAGCAAAAGACTTAAAGACCAATCCCTTTGTGGGAACACTCACCACATCGGTGGACAGACCCAACAGTCATGACAATGATAACCAGCACTGCCACAGTACATGCACAGACCTTTTCTCAGCCAATGGAGCCTCTCCTCCTTTGACAGACGTGATGAATCACATTGCATAGGTTCCTCATAGACGTTATCGCTAGAATCACATGGTGTTCCTAAACATGAGGATGTCCACTTGAGACTATTTGCTCTTCTCATGTATGAGTTGATCCAGATGAATTGACAGAGTTATGAGTTAGTGTAAAGTCAGATTGTCATACCCTATAGATGATGATATTGTATCCATTTAACTTATTACTATTTTCATGAATGCCTTGGATTTAAATAGATCAAACATAATGTTTGTAAATATCTGAGATCTGAATACTTCTTTGTTTTTTATTTTTTTATTTTTTTTACTGTGGGAGAGCTGTTTGAGCTTTTTCAGTAGAAGCGTCCATGGTTCAATATTTATCAACAAGTGTTTCATACTTATCAACATAAGTTTGATATTTACCAATTACTGGTCATCCGTGACAAGTCATGAAAGCACTTAGTCAAAGATAAATATTAGCATGGTTATGCAATTGATAAAGTGTAAACATTAATAAGAAACTGAGATGCAGCTTCTCTGGGAGGTTACATCTCTTTAGAGACATTAAGTAAATATTTATCTGTTTCAACTTCATGCAAATTTAGACACAGTGACATGCAAAAGTTTCGCCACCCTGAAAAAATTTCTGTTACTATTAATAGTTAAGTGAGTAGAATGTGGACTGATCTCTAAAAGGCATAAAAGATTCTTTTCAACATTTTAAACAAGATTAGTGCATTATTTCTGTTTTGTACAATTTTAGAGTGGAAAGAAAGGAAAGGAAGACCATGTGAAAGTTTGGGCACCCCAAGAGATTTGAGCTCTCAGATAAGTTTTGCAGGGTCCTGCACTCACAGACGCCGTTTGAGCTGCTAGAGAGTGTGAAAATTAAATTTTTCTTGGTTAAGACAGTTCTGCTACTCACCTTGCTGTCCACTTGGTGAGTTAGAGAGTTGCCTTCCAGTTCTCAGTTCAGTTCTGCCTATACAGGGTTGCCCATCTCAACCTAGTGCTTGTTCCATTGGATGGTGGAAGCAATTAGTTGTTAGTTTGTGCCACTGCCACCTGGGCTTTTCCGCACACATTCATCAAGTTCTATCATTAGATATCACTGCGCTGTTACTGGCCCATACCATCCTCAATGTGAGCACCGCATAGACATAATGTTTACGGTTGTAGTTTTTCACTAAAATCGCCTCAGTGCATGCAACCATTATGCAGCCTCCACTCTGGCTGCTTTCATCAGGGTGCCTGTCCTGACAGCTCGTCATCACTCACTATCTATATGGAGGCATTATGCAGTCACACTGGACAGGACTATAATTCCTTTCAGTGCTCTGGTTGCTTCCCTGACACATTAGTCTTGCCAGACAGATGGAAAGCATGTAATACGGGAGCTGGCTATATCTTTCCCATAGTGAGATCCCGAATGAAGGTTTCAGAGGACCAAGGTTACACAGGGAGCTGTATGTTTTGAACACGTCCACTATTACAGAATTTTTTTTGGAAGAGTATCTATGATCTGTCTCAATGTTTTTGTCACCAAGATGCAATATATGTTTGACAGCTTAATTCAATTCAGTGTTTTAGTAGAAAGATATTATTTCTAATGATATCTTTCATAATGTTAATGAGATTTTGAGTCACCTGTCGAGGAAGGTGACACTTGATTGATGTTATAATATAGCTGAAATTATGCACTTTTTAATAAGCTAAAGCACAATTTCCACATTAACATTAACAAATTAAATAATTAATGATGTATGTGTCCCACTGCTACTTTTAAATACTGTATTTTTTAATTAGCTAAATTTGAGCAAATACGACTAATGTGATTGATCCTGACGAACTACTGAAAATAATGTGATTAATCTTGCTTATTTAAGTCTGAGACTTATAACTAAATTATTTAAAACTATTTGTCTGGATGTTAAGTGTATTTTTGCCATAAAATGCTGTATAACATTAGGAAAGCAAAAAGCAACAAGAAGTTTTTCTTTTCCGGTTGTAAATTTATTATAATCATAGAAAAAACATATCTTGGAGGATAATTACAAATAATACTGGTCTTCCTCAAAGAGTGGGCAGAAAACACATAAAATCACTACATACCTATTAATATAATTTGTATTTTATTGCAATATTACTGCCTAGATTTTTGCAAGCAATGATTTTCTGTATGTTAGTGTGTTTACTTTAATCACTTCCAAAGGTCTCCTTGAGGAAGCCCAGTATTATTTGTAGTTATCATTCAATATTTCATGTATCTAATCAATAATTCGTTGAACTAAAGCAAGTGCTGTTAAATGAATTGAAAAAATCCATGTGACATCTAGAATGCAGCGAGAAGTCAAGATCCAAATCTGTTTTCTTGTACTTACTTTCTTGTTGTTACTTTTTAGTGTATTCATGTTTTTTTTTTTGTTGTATAAATTCAAATAGTATATGATGATTTGACAAGTAAAAACACACTCACTGCTGAGATAAATTGTTTTAAATAATGTGCTTAGATGGCCAAGACTTTTGCACGGTACTTTTTTTTACATATTACAGTACCATTTTACATAATATATTTAAATTTAAATTTTTGTACTGATCTTCTTCCATTTTGAGGAGCCGCATGTGATGTTTTGCCAACAGGACTGAAGAAAGTACATTAAATAAAAACACTGTACTTGTTTTGAAAGTAAATGTGTTGTGTTCTTTCTTAATTTCACCAGAAGGTGTCACTGTTGTGTTGAGAATGCAATTGAAATAACATTGCTCACACATGCTTAAATATGGGCGTCATTTTCATATATACAACAGTTGCTACATGTAATAAGTTAATGTAACTTATGAAGCACATCAGACATAATTTTAGAGCACCTGTATGGAGGTAAGGGAGTACATCGATAGGATTTGTTTAGAAGAGAAGGTATTATTCCTCAAAGAGCTGGCATTGTTGGCAACATCAAAAGCAATGGGGACAGGGGGCACCCTTGTCTCGTTTTTCTAAAAGTAGGGAGGAGGCTCGGTACTATGTGGCTTGTTCAAACTGATCCCTGTGGTGCCATATGTAAAATCTTAATCCATGACCTAAGGATTGGGCCTAAAGCTAAATTTATTTGCTGTGAACTGGTATTTATAATCAACACTTTCAAGTGATTAATGACCTTTGGACTCACTGCTAGGTACATGTATTACTTGTGTCATGTGACATGTAAAATCAAAGTAATAGTTAAATGACCAGTTTCCAGTTCCTATCCTTCCTTGCTTGTTTACAGTTACAGACTGTAGCTGATCTATTGTTGCACAGTTTGTGTTGGCCATCCACTAGACCTACATTGGTCAGTTTCATAGTCACTATTAGCTGAATTTTTTGGGTGGGTGGTCTACTATCAACCTAGCAGTGTTACTGATGTGTAAAAACCTAAGCATCAATCATACCACCACCACACACTACCATGTCAGTGTCATTGCTATGCTGAGAATGTATAACCACACAAATAACATCTGGCCAACAGCAGCCATGTAGTTAGAAACTGGCCAATGGTGAATGAGGTAGAAGGGGCTGATAAACTCTGCAGCAACTAATGGGTGACAGCCTGTAACCATTGACTTCTACATTGGGGATATAAGGCAGGTGTTTCTATTAAAATGGCCAGTCAGTGGAAGCACAACATAGGTGTTCCTAAGTGGCCATATATATTGAAGACAAGCTTGAGTCATATTTAGAATTGTAGCTGGTGCTCTAACAGATGACACAGACAAAGTGCAGAGCTGACAAAATGTATTATTTACCCAATAGAGAAATAGTGATCAACCAAATCACGATACAATGTAATTACGAGGAATAGAAAACTAAATAATCAGCAGTGAAAGGCCACCTTTTAATAATAACCCTTGAATAAAAACACAGCTGTGCCAGGTTAACCAGTGAGAAATCATTAGATTTATAACAGACCATGTAGTAAAGTAACATCAAGTCAGATAAAGACCATGATGATCAAGACAGCCTCACATTTGGGGGAACTGACTTGAATTCCGAGACCAGCATGGAGTAATAACTGTAACTGAACCCAACTACCAAGATCACCACAGTAATCAACATAACCTAAAATACGCTGACCAAGACCAAGCCTAATGAAAATATACTCAAAGATCCAAATATAGTTTCATTTTTAAATGCTGTGGGAAATGGTCAGTGTGGCCGATCCTGTACCCTCAGATATGCACATTGGCGTCCTTTAAGAGATAAACATTTCGTGTTTTTTAGCTCTATAAATTTAGCCCATGACAGTTTTTATTACACATTCCAGTGACCCCTTCAAGCACAGCCCCAATACATGAAATAAAACTGATCATCACACTGTAATCATGAAGGCCGAGAGGTTCTTCAGATCAGAGGAGCTCCGTACACCTCCACCTCACACAGAGTGAGGAACTCGCTCCTTCCTGGAATCACAATGTTGATGTACCGGCCCTCCATCCCTTTACAGTCAAAGGTAAAGATCTGACCTGCGCTGGCAGTGTTGATCACTCCACACCTGAAGAAGCAAAAGGTGAAAAATTTATATTATAAATTATTAGCACAATCGGAAACAATTGTGAAAAGGAATTGCACACGTGAGCTAATATTGATTATTGATGTGCATATCGGAGGGTGCATGATAAACTCCACCAGCTAAAAATTCTGATCTCTCAACCAGAATCTGTAAGAGATACTATATTGTTATAATCTGTATAGAACTGACAGCATAGCAAAGATGGATGGGTAGCTTTCTACAGCCCCCTCCACAATTATTGACACCCGGGTAAAAATAAGTAAATAGGGTTAAAATTTATTAATTAGATAATTTCACACTGAAAAAACATAAAATCCAACCATTAATTTAGGTAATTTTACTCTGAGATTAAAAAGAATCCCTCATCAAGAAATAAACACAGTTACTACAGTCCCAGTAGTATTTAGTGAACTGCAGGTGCTCATTCTTTCTGTCTTACTGTCCACCTCACTGTGTGTTGTGGCAAAATAAACTTGGGTCCTTGTCCAGCCTTTCCATGACTTATTAAGGTCAGTGTAATTGTTCGGTATTTTAATTGTGTGTTCTCTTGTCTTTCTCATGAACTTGACCTCTGGATCACCTTATATATATATATATATATATATATATATATATATATACCCCAGTGAAAAAGGAAGTCATGGATTACTGCTTGAAAGTTTCTAGACACTCTTAAGTATTAATACCACTTATTAATGAACAGACTAGACTAAATCTAAGAGATCACTCTAAGTCTTCCTTAATTGACTTAATTTAATCCAACAGACGCTACAATATTACTGCTTTAGGTTTATTCAACTCTGTATATATATATATATATATATATATATATATATATATATATATATATATATATATATATATTTAAACTGCAATAACAAAGATACTTGAAATAATAGTTAATTAGGAAACATAAATATGGCTTTTCAGAGTGATTCTGAGTGTATTTTAGTACTTATTCAGAAATTATTCAGAACCTGTCATTATAACATAACTGCAGATCAAACGTATCACTGAAAATCTGCTCTTTTGTTGTTCAGCCCTGCAAGCAGTTTACCTCGGGTTATTGTTGCCGTTGTTGTCCAGACTGTCTCCGATTCTGATTTCAGCTCCATTCAGCCTTACAGAAGTAGCCTCCTGCCTGGAAGCGACACTAATGGTAAACACTTTGTGCTGTTTCAGCAGGTCCAGTCTCCACCATGGACTGAGATCATTTTCAGTGTGTGAGCAGGAGCCATGATTGTACACACCATCTCGGTTTCCATCAATGGCGTTGGATGGAAAACCACGCTCATAAAGGCTGGACTGTGTAGCTCTTCCTTTCAGCGCTACATTCTCTCCTGCACAGGAAACAGTACCGAAAGCATGTCAGTCCAATAACAGATCCAATAACAGATCAAAAGATCTGTCAGAAATTTTTGCTGATTTTAATTGTTTGACCAGTTATTCTAAGTTTTCAAACAATTAAACAGATGAGTTTTGGCATTTTGGATTGAAAACCGGCAGATAATTGGACACCACTGGGTTACAGTCTGTAATCATACAAATACACTATATGGCAAACAGAATATGGACACCTGACCATCACACCTAGATGAGCTTGTGGACCATTTCAAAACCATAAATATTAACATGGAGTATAACAGCCTCCACTCTTTTGGGAAGCTTTTCACAAGATGTTGTAATGGGGAATTTTTGCCGATTAGGTCAAAAGAGCGTTTGTGAGGTCAGGCCTCGCTGGCAATCAATGTTCTGATTCATCCTAAAAGTGCTCAGTGCTGTTGTTGCTGCTAGATGCTTCCATTTTACAATAACAATCTACCTACCTACCTACCTACCTACTTGAAGTGCAATTATTAAAAATAAATGAATAAATAAATAAATAAATCTAACTGGGATACTGGAATAAATATTTTTCCCAAATCTGTGTGTGCCACAATTGTTGCACGCCTTCATTTAATGCTTTGCGCAGCCTCACTTTGCAAAGATAGCAGCTCTGAGTCTTCAATAATGCTTAATGAGACTGGAAAACACATGACAAAGGATCTGAGACCATTCCTCCATACAGAACCTTCTTATTCTGAGGTCCACACCATGGACTCTCCTCTTCAGCTCATTCCCCAGGTTTTCTATAGGGTTTAGGTCAGGAAAGTGGGGTGGCCATGGAGAAACCTTAATTCTGTGGCCAATGAACCATTTTTGTGTTGATTTAGAGGTGTGCTGAGGATCATTGTCCTGCTGGAAGATCCCAACTATGGCCGAGTTTAAGCTTCCTGGTTGAGGCAGTTTTCCGCCTGGCTGTCTATGTGTCCACGCCAAACTCACCTTTGGTGTTTGTTGTCAAAACCTCTGTTTTGGTCTCATCTGACCTCAGAACACAGTCCCACCGAAAGTTCCAGTAACGTTTGACAAACTACAGGAGCTTGAGTTTGTTAGTCCTTGACAGCAACACCCCCAAACAGCTTGTTACAGTTATACGGGTGGTGTTCGATTGTGGTTTGGGAGACATTCTGTCCCCAAGGTCTAATTTCTGCAATTCCCCATCTGTGATCCCTGGACATTCTTTGTCCACTAAAACTATCCTCTTCACTGTGTGTGGGGTCAGTACAGACATGCATCTTCTTCCCGACAGATTCTTAACATCTCCCATCGTTTTAAGCTTCTTAATTATTGCTCTGATAGTGGAAATGGGCATTCTCAACAGTTTAGCTCTTTTCTTGTAGCCATTTCCTGATTTGTGCGACTCAACAACCTTTTGTTGACTATCATTGCTGTATTCTCTGGTCTTTCTCACAGTGATGGATGACTGAGGGAATTTGGCCTGTGTTTAGTAGTTTTATATATACATATTCCCCAGTGAATCAGGAAGTCATGGTTGACCATTGAACTGTTCCTAATTACTCAGTCAAACTTTAAAACTTAAAATATTAAAGGGAAAAAAATTTCAGTTGGATTTCACTCTTAAGAATTTGAAGGGGTACCAATAATTGTGGTACACATAGATTTAGGAAAATTATTTCATGACAAGATTAAGTTTTTTTTTTTTTTAATTATTGCATCTATGTAAATAAATAAATAAATGTTTTTTTTTCTAATATTTTAGATGAAAGATCAAAAGTATAAGTAATTAAGAATAATTTTTACTTCTCATTTTGCGCAAGATTAACAGGGGTGCCAATATTTTTGGAGGGCACTGTATCTGTCTATCTATCTTGGTAAATCCAAAAATGCTTTTTCCCTACAAAGATGACAGTGCTTGTTGAAGACCTAATCATTTTCATAGAAGATAAAAATCAATGAAAAATAATATAAATATAATATAAATGCGTAATCCAAGACTTTCTACAGCTACTAGAAGCTACACACATCTCTGTTATTTGTTTGTCTTGTTCAGATTCGCCACTTGGCGGCTGTTTGAATTCTGGGAGTAGCTGCTGAGACCCGTGTTCCCTCCTCGCTCTGCTAACTGAGGCATTTGGGTGAGTCTTTAGAAATAAGTTAGCATAGTTGAGGTATTAGCATGGGCATTTGGTGTGACAGTGCTGGCTGAATGTCACCATTCAGTCTGCCACTCTTTACCCATCACTGTTGCAATCTACTGAGAAACCCAAGTGTTTCCAAACGGGAGATGAAGACCTGGAAAACATTGCTTTTTCCAGCTCAAGCTCGCTTGCTCCGCCCACCATTTCAAACAGCTCAGCTAATCAACCATCTAAGGTAGATAAAGCTAAAGTTAGCACATACAGTGAATACAGTGTTTCTCACCATCTGGAGTGGGATAGCCGTAGACCTCGACCTCACAGAGAGTCAGGAGCCGCTTATCTCCTGGGATGATCACGTTGACATAACGACCTGAGAAGCCTTTCTCGAAGGTTAATGTCATAGATTGTCCTCCAGGGATGCTAGAGATCACCCCAACTCTGGGGACAAAGCAAAATACAGTGCATATGAGAGAGATTGTACGATTTCTATAGGCCACAGTCAAGAGCAGATGAAACTGACAGGCCAGGAATGTGTAAACATATTAAATTTTACATTTACAAAACATGGACTCTGACCGGTTGTGCATGCAAACATTTGCATAGGACTGTAGACGACTGTTGTGCAATAAATGAGGGACATAAAACAGGGACAAACATACAGACTGTCAGGCATTCAAAGGTACAAAAAGATAAGAGTCTTGTTTAACTTTGGCGCAGCCCAGCACAGATTGGTTAGCTGGCCTGGTACAATGCATACTGGTTCGATTTTTCACTTACATCGACGCGTCACAATTACATAAGCCATGATATAATCATTGGTGGTGAACTCCAGTCCTGGAAGGCCGGAGTTCAGCACAGTTTGGTGATTATCCTACTCAAACACTCCTAATTCAACTCAGAGGTAATTGCCAGGTTTATGTGGTGTGTTAAGAGCAGGAAAATGACCAATTTGTCCTGGACACTGAACCTCCAGAACTGCAGTTTGCCACCCCTGATGACAAAGTTTAATCTTAACTGGTTAGACCGGTGGTCACCAACTTTGCACCTGAAAAGCTGCCTTCCTGCAGATCTTAGCTATTCAACCCCACCTGATCCATTTAGTTACTGCCTCCAGAAGTCTTTGATTAGCTAAATGATATGTGTCAGATCTGGGTTAGAGCTGGGTGGATCTTCAGAAGGAGGTTTGGGGACCACTGAGCGAGACTATCCACTGATAACCATGAAGACACAAACTGTGCTGAATATGAAATTATGTCTCATAAAATCTGCAGTGTGTCTGGTTATTATTTTCACCTGTAAAATTCAAATGTATGTTCTTTAAAGAAGAATAAGCCATGAGATCTTGGTAAAAACATCCAGAGGTCTATTCAACTCATCCACTGCCGACAACTAGGTACCCTTACTAGCTGCCAATGGGAGGTGCACTTCAACTAAACTAGACAGGAACAGTTTGCGAACAAACTCTAAGTTGGCTTGACAAAGCAGCTGTTGATCATTGTTGATAATTATATGTATGTATATTGTAATTATTTGTTGAATTTAGTGTGTTGTTTATGTTTTGTGTAGATTTAGGTTTTTAGGTTTATGGGTTATTTAAAGTTACTTGAGTTATTTATATATTCCAAGTGGGTGCTTTGTGGTTGCTATAGTATTGCAAGTGTTTGCTAAGGCATTGCTAGGCAGTTTATATTTTTTTCAAAAGGGTTGCTAAGGTGCTTCTGTGTGGTCGCTATAGTATTGGAGGTCTGATATCTCTGGTGGTTGCTAGGGAGCTGTTTGGTTGTTGCTATTGTGTTTCAGGTGGTTGCTAGCGTGTTGCAAGTGTACCATGTGTTTCATCGTGATATATGAAGGGAATACAAATCTTTGCCCACATAGTGAACGATGACTGCAGTAAAATAAGAAGTTCATCTAAGGAGATCATAAAGCACAAGCACACTCTGTGGGTATAGGTTCTACAACTAGTTTTGGCTTTATGAATAAAGTTGTTTTGCACTTTCAATTTACACTGTAAATATTGTTCATGGTATTAAAAAAAAAAAAGTATGAATGTAGTGGTTTTACGATGTCACGCCACTATAGTACACTCTGTACTCCCCAATACTACACTCCCCAAACCCAAACTCCCAGAGTCCCCCAGGAGACCATGTGACCAACATGCCACAGCCATCATACAATCACAGATCCTTATCACCTGAGAAAGATTGTTTGTTTTCAGGTTTATTCCTCTGTGTTTATGACTGTTTTTTGGCTTTTCCCTTTTCTTGGCTATGTTTGCTATCTTAGTACTCTCTTGTTTTTGATCTCATTCTTTCTTTGACCACTTTTTGATGTTTGTGTTATTAAGTACCCGTTTTGTTCTGGTTTTGAACCCGGCCTGTTTTTTAACTACATGTTTGGATTGTTCTTTTGCAATTAGAGCCTCAAAGTTTTTTTTTACTGTAAGTGTTTGACTTATTCTGTTCCATTATATACAGTGTCAAAATTTCCATGCTCCTTTGCTTTTGCATTGTAATTGGATGTTTTTTCCAGCAATACTAACAACTGTTAACATTTTACATTGTAATAAAAAACAAACTGTTTTATCACCTGGTGTTGCTGTTTCCATTGTTGACTAAAGAGTTTCCGATGAGTATCTCAGCTCCGTTGATCCTCTCTGGACAGCAGTCTCCTCTGTTATAGATGGTGATGGAGGTCACTGTGTACTCGTCCAGAAGGTCCACCCTCCACCAGGGGTTTTGTTGGAACTCGGTGGCGGTGCAAGAACCAAGGTTGTAGTTTGATTCAGTATTTCCGTCTATAGCGTTGTAGGCGTGACTGAATGCCGCATAGGGGTTTTCAACCAAGGATGACTGTGTGGCTTTTCCATAGAGAGCGAGGTTTTTGGCTGGAATGAAAAAAGCCATGCAGATGTGTTCAATAATACATAAGCAAAAGAAACATCATTTGAAAGGTGATTCTGTTAACATTCCTCAAGTTACTGTTGTTATCACTATAATCATGATTATTGTTTGTTTTTATATCATTCATTTATATCATCTATCTATTAATCACACCAGCCCTGGAGAGAAAAGAAAAACAGCACAAAGGTGTTTAGAATTTTTCTTACATGATGTAATGATCACATCAAAATCTGGAGCCTACAAAAATTGTAGTTGTAAACAATTAACTTCTTTAATATCTATGAATGCATGTACCCTCATGTCCATATATATATATATATATATATATATATATATATATACACACACACACACACACACACACACATCAGCTCCACTTACCATATAGGTGCACTTTGTAGTTCTACAGTTACAGACTGTAGTCCATCTGTTTCTCTGATACTTTGTTAGCCCCCTTTTACCCTGTTCTTCAGTGGTCAGGACCCCCATGGACCCTCACAGAGCAGGTACTATTTGGGTGGTGGATCATTCTCAGCACTGCAGTAACACTGACGTGGTGGTGGTGTGTTAGTGTGTGTTGCGCTGGTCTGAGTGGATCAGACACAGCAGTGCTGCTGGAGTTTTTAAACACCTCAGTGTCACTGCTGGACTGAGAATAGTCCACCAACCAAAAATATCCAGCCAACAGCGTCCTGTGGGCAGCGTCCTGTGGGCAGCGTCCTGTGACCACTGATGAAGGACTAGAGGATGACCAACACAAACTGTGCAGCAGCAGATGAGCTATCGTCTCTGACTTTACATCTACAAGGTGGACTGACAAGGTAGGAGTGGATATGATCTACCACCCAAATAGTACCTGCTCTGTGAGGGTCTATGGGGGTCCTGACCACTGAAGAACAGAATAAAAGGGGGCTAACAAAGTATCAGAGAAACAGATGGACTACAGTCTGTAACTGTAGAACTACAAAGTGCACCTATATAGTAAGTGGAGCGGATAAAATGGACAATGAGCGCAGATGTATATAATGTGTAAAGATGATGTGTACCTTTCATAGATGATGCATCAGTGAAACCAGTCACTGTAATCACTCCCAGCAGGTAAAATATGTGATGTTCCATTTTCTTAAAAAAAGCAAAGACATTACAAAAGTACATTAACTCTTATCTTTTCTCTGGGTATTGCTGGGCTGTCTTAAGGCACCTCACTGTACTTTACATTTTCACAAAACACACCAGTGTTAATTCCATCAACTTATGTTCAGAACACCCAGGACACATGTTAATGCCAGGTGTAAAGGTTTTGTCTGATTTAAGCTTTTATCTCTGGCTTTACTATGAGACCCTGAAGGCATTTCACTGACCCTGCAGCACTCAGAAAGAACTCTCCCCCAGTTCACTGTTCCCCTCAAAAACAATCTCAGTTAGAAATACTTACAATAATAAAGTTGCACTGGTACTCACTCAGCAGTGTTTCCAGAGAGTCTTATTTGGCACAACTGAAGTTTTGTAAGTTGCTAGAGCGATAAGTAACTCTTATTATCTTCTATATTTGCCTTTATTGATCAGCTTTACCAGAAATCCCTGGCACGTTGCCCTGCTTTGATTTTGACCTGTAGTTCAAGTCTGCCTCTGACTTTATCTGACGGCTCCACTCATCCTCGCAAATATGCATGGACTTTGACTGTCAAAGACAATATATCAAATGTTCAAATTGAGAAATTGTATTGTGCTTTGCAAAATATATGACCTTTTTAAATTTATACCAGCAACACATTTCAAAACCAGTTCAGCAGAATGATCAATAAACAAACCCACACATTTATAAGCTCTCTCATTCGTCATGTATAGTGCTGTAATACTGTAAATGGGGTTTTATATATATATACATACACCAATCAGACATAACGTTCTGACCACCTCCTTGTTTCTATGCTCATAGTCCATTTTATCAGCTCCACTTACTATATAGGTGCACTTTGTAGTTCTACAGTTACAGACTGTAGTCCATCTGTTTCTCTGATACTTTGTTAGCCCCCTTTTACCCTGTTCTTCAGTGGTCAGGACCCCCATGGACCCTCACAGAGCAGGTACTATTTGGGGGTAGATCATTCTCAGCACTGCAGTAACACTGACATGGTGGTGGTGGTGTGTCTTGTTTGTGTTGCGCTGGTGCGGGTGGATCTCCACTTTTTGACGTTTCAGTTTTTGACATAATTTGAAAATACCTGTCTTTATTTACATTGTATGTAAATTTCATGATGAATGGACCAAAAGAAATGACCTGAAGTGACTTGGAGAAAAGTCTGGTTCCATTGACTTACATTAAAAGTAAATTATGTTTTTTCCCTCTCCTGTAAAGTTATCGCTTCGGAGATACAAGGTTTTCTTCTGACACCAGCGACATGTATGTATACAGAGGGAGAGATAGAGAGATAGAGTAGTTCATTGCACATTCTATACCATTCATTTGATATAATTTGTACATAAATATATATTATTTTGTTTATATGTTTTGTACAATATAACAAATAAATAACGTATAGCCTAAAAATTATTCATTATCTGAACTTTGCACTGTAACTGGGCACTGAGGTGGTTATTCTTACTTCCTTTCCTCTCTAAAACTTATTCAGAATCACCAGCTAAAGTCAAATGAACATAAACTAAACTACACTACATCCAGTTTTATTATTAAATGAGAGAATAGTTATAATAACATTCTGATCTGCTCTCAGGGCATGTTTGAACTTTGGAACCAACAAACAAATAATACTGAGTTAAATGATAATAATGAGTTAAAAGATGAAGCCCAGTTAGCTTCTTATTCTCTAGCTTTTTATCCTAATTTTTAGCAGTTATACGTATTAATTTAAGGTGGAACATAAATTTGATTAAAAATGATCTGTACCCTCTGGAAGAGTTTTTCTAGAATTAGTGACACAAAGAAGAAGCTGACTGCACGGAAAAAATATCAACATGTTTTTTGAAGAAAAACCTATAAACTAGAAAACCTCTTAATCTAGGCAGATGATTTATGGGGCCTTTATTAATAGGGAAGCTTGAAAACAATAACACATAGTATTCACCGTAACAGGTCTGCTGTGTACTGAAAAAGTATTGGCTCTTGTTACTGAATTTTCAGTTGACATGTAAAGGACTAGTTTAACTGAACATACTGAACATATAATGTGAACATTACTGAACACTAAACTGAATTTTGTTATGTGATGTTATTTAAAAAGAAGCAATGAGAGAACTCTGATCTCTTTATTTCATATTAATGTCAGACTTTGTTATAATTTTTTCACATTCACCATTTGTCATTGTCAAAAATCACATGCTTTAAAGTACTGGTACCGGTACCGGTATCGGGATATTAGCCTTGGTATTGCTTGGTATCAGGTCAAATAAACAATCAGTGGCGTCTCCTAGATTAGGCCATCCCTAATTTAAACCAGGCACTAATAGAGACAGTAATAAGCTAAATATATACAAAACCATCATTTATAGGGTTCTATTGAAAGGAGACTGTCCCAAACACTAACCTCTAAACTTACACTTGGGAAAACAATACTTCTGTATTTTTTTCAGTGTTGTTTGTAAAACTCTCTTTTTGATTTATTTTTAAGTGAAATTTGTTTCGATTTGTCATGAGGTTAATTTTTAAATAAAAAACCTTTATTCAAAAAATATTGTACCACATTTGGGACAAGGTGTAACATTAAGAATTTTCTGGTGGACTTGCTTGTGTGCTTCAGATCATCGTCCTGCAGCATAACCCAGGCCCGCCGGAGCTTTAGGTCACGAACAGGATGCGGTGGCACAATACCAATATAAACGTAGAGCCAGGCAGCGAATAGCTACAACATTACGTCATCCCACCAAACCGTTCTGTGGCCCTGAGTATGTTTAGCTTTTTTAAGTGTTCCGTGTCGAACCGTGTCCATGTGGAAAATTCTTTTCCACTGCAGGGCCTAATGGTTCTAAGCATGGAGGGTAACCGTTCCAGTGGCATTTCCACACAGACGCGGTTTGACACGGAACGCTTAAAAACCAGGCGGTTTTGATTACAGACGGAATCAACCGTGTTTTGTGGTGGGTGGTGTGTGTGTAGCTTTTTGATTGTTAGCAGTTAGCCACTTGTTTGTGTAGTTTTCTTGGGTATATTCCTGGTTCTGATTTAGTGGTACAACAGATGGGAGAAGAAACCGGACCAGCGCGAAACGGCCCAGTACTGCCCTGAGAACCTCTATAGTGTAAAAGCGACCTTTGATACCACTGGAATTTGCATTTCCAATAAGACCTGTAATCATATAGAGCAAACAAAAAAGTAATTTCTTGTAAATTACTTAAATATTATGATTCATATATGTTACTTTCTATAAGAGAACGATGCTTTCATATAGAGCTAAGCTGCCAACTTTCAGCAGTGACAAGCTCCCCTTTAATCCAAGATATAAGATTGTGTAGCTTCAGAAGTTACAAAATTTACATAAAAGGATATAAAACTTATAAGACATAAAATCTGTGTAAATGTTTTGTTTATGTACTATTATTCAACATTTTTTCAGCAACTTCAGTAAAAGCTTTGTATGAGTGTCAGTTTTTTATTCAAAAGTTGTGACAATTTTAACTTGTTAACTGATAAACGTGTTTTTATATTATTACCATTAAGCTGTTTTCACTTTTATAGGTCTTCATTTTTTGCTTATCACAAAACAAAACTGCATTTGAACTGTGTACTATTTCACAGATTTAGGGCGCCAGCATTAACTGTGCAGCAACAGATGGTAGTTATAGACAGCCTGTAATTATACTCTTATATAGTGGGGCTATAAGGTAGGTGTTTCTAATAAAGTCATCAGTGAGTCGAAGCACAACATAGGTGTTTCCATTAAAGTGGCCAGTGAGTGAAAGCACAACATAGGTGTTTCCAATAAAGTGGCCACAGGTTTTGAAGACTGGCATAAGTGATATTTGGAATTATAGCTGATGACTCACGCTGTTAAAAAGCAATAGACAAAGTGCAGAGCTGACAAAATTTATTATTTACCCAATAGAGAAAAAGAAATCACCCAAATCACGACACAATGCAATTAAAAAAACTAAATAAGAAAAATTAGAAAACTAAATAATCAGCACTGAAAGGCCACCTTTTAAACCCGTTCAAGCAGTCTGAGTAAAAACACAGCTGATTCAGTACCAGGTTAACCAACGAGAATCAAATCATTAGATTTATAACAGACCATGTAATAAAGTAACATCAAGATCGTGAAGGGCAGCCTCACATTTGGGGCGAAGAGACCACAACTGACTTGAATTCAGAGACCAGCATGCAGTAATAACTGTAACTGAACCCAACTGCCAAGATCACCACAGTAACATCACCAGTAATCACACTGCATCGTGTGATGTGATGTAACAGCATCACACTGTAATCATGAAGGCCGAGAGGTTCTTCAGATCAGAGGAGCTCCGTACACCTCCACCTCACACAGAGTGAGATACTCGCTCCTTCCTGGAATCACAATGTTGACGTACTGTCCCTCCATCCCTTTACAGTCAAAGGTAAAGGTCGGCCCTGCACTGGCAGTGTTGAATCACTCCACACCTGAAGAAGCAAAAGGTGAAAAAAATGATCACAATCAGAAAATTTGCAAAAAAAGAATTGCACGTGTGAGCTAATATTAATTAGGGCTGGCCTAAATAAATACCTGTTTGATAAGGCCTGTTTGTTATGTTGGGGATTAATTAATTAATTAATTTATTTATTTCTGACTGTGTTTAGTCCTCCTCACTGTGTGTGGGGGCAAAATAAGCTTGGGTCTTTGTCCAGCCAAGTTTGTCACAGTTCCAGCTGATAGGAATTTTTCATTATATTTGTTCTATTGCCTGTAAATAGATGTGGACATTTTCAGGTGAGTAGCTATTTTTTATAGCCCTAGTCACGGACTTATCAGGTTAATATAATTTTCCCTTATTTTAATTGTGTGTTCTCTTGCCTTTCCATGAATTGGACCTCTGTGTCACCTCATATACACATACATATATATGTATATATGTATATATATATATGTATATATGTATATATATATATATATACCCCAGTGAAAAAGGAAGTCATGGATTACTGCTTGAAAGCTTCTAGACACTCTCAACTAAAGTAATAAAATATAAATGGAAAAATGCAGTTACATTTTGCTTTTAAGATTTTTTTGTTTTTAAGAAGTGTGCAAAATTAGGCAAAATTATGTATTTGTTGTTGTGAAGTTCTACAGGCTTCCTCCTGCTCCCTCAACATAACTGGACTTTTATCATAATGCTCTAATGTAGAGATGCTGATGCTAGGCAATTGTATTCTTGACTGGCAGACTGTTGTATCTGATCACAAGGAAATATGTGATCATCTCAATCTCACACTGCTTATTAATGAACAGACTAGACTAAATCTAAGAGATCGCTCTAAGTCTTCCTTAATTGACTTAATTTAATCCAACAGAAGCTTCCAAATTACTGCTTTGTGTTTATTCAACTTTTAATATATATTTTTTAAACTGCAATAACAAAGATACTTGAAATTATAGTTAATTAGGAAACATAAAT